GCTGATGAGTGCTGATGAGTGCTGATGAGTGCTGATGAGTGCTGATGAGTTCTGATGAGTGCTGATGAGTTCTGATGAGTTCTGATGAGTGCTGATGAGTGCTGATGAGTTCTGATGAGTGTTGATGAGTGCTGATGAGTGTTGATGAGTGCTGATGAGTGCTGATGAGTTCTGATGAGTGCTGATGAGTTCTGATGAGTGCTGATGAGTTCTGATGAGTGCTGATGAGTGCTGATGAGTTCTGATGAGTTCTGATGAGTGTTGATGAGTTCTGATGAGTTCTGATGAGTGCTGATGAGTGCTGATGAGTTCTGATGAGTGCTGATGAGTTCTGATGAGTGCTGATGAGTTCTGATGAGTGCCGATGAGTTCTGATGAGTGCTGATGAGTTCTGATGAGTGCTGATGAGTTCTGATGAGTGCTGATGAGTTCTGATGAGTGCCGATGAGTTCTGATGAGTGCTGATGAGTTCTGCTGATGAGTTCTGATGAGTGCTGATGAGTGCTGATGAGTGCTGATGAGTGCTGAGTGCTGATGAGTGCTGATGAGTGCTGATGAGTGCTGATGAGTGCTGATGAGTTCTGATGAGTTCTGATGAGTTCTGATGAGTGCTGATGAGTGCTGATGAGTGCTGATGAGTGCTGATGAGTGCTGATGAGTGCTGATGAGTGCTGATGAGTTCTGATGAGTGCTGATGAGTGCTGATGAGTTCTGATGAGTTCTGATGAGTTCTGATGAGTGCTGATGAGTGCTGATGAGTTCTGATGAGTTCTGATGAGTGTTGATGAGTTCTGATGAGTTCTGATGAGTGCTGATGAGTTCTGATGAGTTCTGATGAGTGCTGATGAGTTCTGATGAGTGCCGATGAGTTCTGATGAGTGCTGATGAGTTCTGCTGATGAGTTCTGATGAGTGCTGATGAGTTCTGATGAGTGCTGATGAGTTCTGATGAGTGCTGATGAGTTCTGATGAGTGCTGATGAGTTCTGATGAGTGCCGATGAGTTCTGATGAGTGCTGATGAGTTCTGATGAGTGCTGATGAGTTCTGATGAGTGCTGATGAGTTCTGATGAGTGCCGATGAGTTCTGATGAGTGCTGATGAGTTCTGCTGAGTGCTGAGTGCTGATGAGTGCTGATGAGTGCTGATGAGTGCTGATGAGTGCTGATGAGTGCTGATGAGTGCTGATGAGTGCTGATGAGTGCTGATGAGTGCTGATGAGTACTGATGAGTGCTGATGAGTTCTGATGAGTTCTGATGAGTGCTGATGAGTGCTGATGAGTGCTGATGAGTGCTGATGAGTGCTGATGAGTGCTGATGAGTGCTGATGAGCGCTGATGAGCGCTGATGAGCGCTGATGAGTGCTGATGAGTTCTGATGAGTTCTGATGAGTGCTGATGAGTGCTGATGAGTTCTGATGAGTTCTGATGAGTTCTGATGAGTTCTGATGAGTGCTGATGAGTGCTGATGAGTGTTGATGAGTTCTGATGAGTGCTGATGAGTGCTGATGAGTTCTGATGAGTTCTGATGAGTGCTGATGAGTTCTGATGAGTGCCGATGAGTTCCGATGAGTGCTGATGAGTGCTGATGAGTGCTGATGAGTTCTGATGAGTGCCGATGAGTTCTGATGAGTGCTGATGAGTGCTGATGAGTGCTGATGAGTGCTGATGAGTGCTGATGAGTTCTGATGAGTGTTGATGAGTTCTGATGAGTTCTGATGAGTGCTGATGAGTGCTGATGAGTGCTGATGAGTGCTGATGAGTTCTGATGAGTGCTGATGAGTTCTGATGAGTGCCGATGAGTTCTGATGAGTTCTGATGAGTGCTGATGAGTTCTGATGAGTGCTGATGAGTTCTGATGAGTGCTGATGAGTTCTGATGAGTGCCGATGAGTTCTGATGAGTGCTGATGAGTTCTGATGAGTGCTGATGAGTGCTGATGAGTGCTGATGAGTGCTGAGTGCTGATGAGTGCTGATGAGTGCTGATGAGTGCTGATGAGTGCTGATGAGTGCTGATGAGTTCTGATGAGTTCTGATGAGTGCTGATGAGTGCTGATGAGTGCTGATGAGTGCTGATGAGTGCTGATGAGTGCTGATGAGTTCTGATGAGTTCTGATGAGTGCTGATGAGTTCTGATGAGTGCCAATGAGTTCTGATGAGTGCTGATGAGTTCTGCTGATGAGTTCTGATGAGTGCTGATGAGTTCTGCTGAGTGCTGATGAGTTCTGATGAGTGCTGATGAGTTCTGATGAGTGCTGATGAGTTCTGATGAGTGCCGATGAGTTCCGATGAGTGCTGATGAGTTCTGCTGATGAGTTCTGATGAGTTCTGATGAGTGCTGATGAGTTCTGATGAGTTCTGATGAGTTCTGATGAGTGCTGATGAGTTCTGATGAGTGCTGATGAGTGCTGATGAGTTCTGATGAGTGCTGATGAGTTCTGATGAGTTCTGATGAGTGCTGATGAGTGCTGATGAGTTCTGATGAGTGTTGATGAGTGCTGATGAGTGCTGATGAGTGCTGATGAGTTCTGATGAGTGCTGATGAGTTCTGATGAGTTCTGATGAGTTCTGATGAGTGCTGATGAGTTCTGATGAGTGCTGATGAGTTCTGATGAGTGCTGATGAGTTCTGATGAGTGCTGATGAGTTCTGATGAGTTCTGATGAGTGCTGATGAGTGCTGATGAGTTCTGATGAGTGTTGATGAGTTCTGATGAGTTCTGATGAGTGCTGATGAGTGCTGATGAGTGCTGATGAGTTCTGATGAGTGCTGATGAGTTCTGATGAGTGCTGATGAGTTCTGATGAGTGCCGATGAGTTCTGATGAGTGCCGATGAGTGCTGATGAGTTCTGCTGATGAGTTCTGATGAGTGCTGATGAGTTCTGATGAGTGCTGATGAGTTCTGATGAGTGCCGATGAGTTCTGATGAGTGCTGATGAGTTCTGCTGATGAGTTCTGATGAGTGCTGATGAGTTCTGATGAGTGCTGATGAGTTCTGATGAGTGCTGATGAGTTCTGATGAGTTCTGATGAGTTCTGATGAGTGCTGATGAGTTCTGATGAGTGTTGATGAGTGCTGATGAGTGTTGATGAGTGCTGATGAGTGCTGATGAGTGCTGATGAGTGCTGATGAGTTCTGATGAGTTCTGATGAGTGCTGATGAGTGCTGATGAGTGCTGATGAGTGCTGATGAGTTCTGATGAGTTCTGATGAGTTCTGATGAGTGCTGATGAGTGCTGATGAGTTCTGATGAGTGCCGATGAGTGCCGATGAGTTCTGATGAGTGCTGATGAGTTCTGATGAGTTCTGATGAGTGCTGATGAGTGCTGATGAGTGCTGATGAGTGCTGATGAGTGCTGATGAGTTCTGATGAGTGCCGATGAGTTCTGATGAGTGCCGATGAGTTCTGATGAGTGCCGATGAGTTCTGATGAGTTCTGATGAGTGCTGATGAGTTCTGATGAGTGCCGATGAGTTCCGATGAGTTCCGATGAGTCCCGATGAGTGCCGATGAGTGCCGATGAGTTCTGATGAGTGCCGATGAGTGCTGATGAGTGCCGATGAGTGCTGATGAGTGCCGATGAGTGCTGATGAGTTCTCTGTGTCTTCTGTTGTGTGTGACGCTTCGATCCGAGACATGAAATATTGATCAGACACAGACGTTAAACCTGTGTACACAGCTGCAGGCGCTTGGTTTACTGCACTGGACCTGCCTCCGGGGGCTCAGCCGGGTGGAGACAGAACCACACTACATCAAACACAGTGGTGATAAACTGTAGCCACAGCTGCCCTGGGGCACACTGACAGAAGCAACCAGTCTGTGCCATCAGCCCCTCCCACCACCACCAACCAGTCACACACACACCAGACTGGCCACGCCCCCTCTGGCCACGCCCCCGATGGTCTCTGGTGGAGAATGTCCCCTTTGTGCAGCGGGAGGAAGGCTCCGTGGTCCCGGTTGATGGTCTTGGTTGATGGTTCTGTTGGTTCCTGGTCTTAGTAGTTTTGAGTTCTTTGATCCTGGAGTTGGATTAGTTTAGTGGATTTCTCCTTCAAAGTCTTTGGTCTAGAGCTGCAACTAACGATTATTTTGTAATCGATTAATCTATCGATTATTTTTACGATTAATCGAGTAATCGCTTGGCTGTGAATTGTGTAGAAAAAAAAAAATTTTTCATCACAAAAAGCTAAAGTGGCAACACTCGAGGACGTGTTGAGGCGTAAACTTAAAGTAAATGTTTGTAACAGGCTCTTTGTGCTGATTCTGCTCTGATTGGATGAGACAGACAGATATTCATGAAATTATAAAAACAAAGTTGGTTTTAATCAAAAATACTACATTTTCATGTCATTTTTGCTCTGTTTGAGTCCGTGTGAACCAGAAAACGATTAATCGATTACTAAAATAGTTGTTGACTATTTCAATAATCGATTAGTCGTCGATTAATCGATTAGTTGTTTCAGCCCTACTTTGGTCCATTATTTAGTATTTCCTGCTGTGTCGCTGTGACTCTTTCACTGTTGTGTTGACTCAGATCGGAGACACAGGTGTTAGCATAGCCTGTTAGCATAGCCTGTTAGCATAGCATTTCAGTGATAAATCCAACCTAGGACTGAGGCTGTAGACCCAGGACTGAGGCTGTAGACCCAGGACTGAGGCTGTAGACCCAGGACTGAGGCTGTAGACCCAGGACTGAGGCTGTAGACCCAGGACTGAGGCTGTAGACCCAGGACTGAGGCTGTAGACCCAGGACTGAGGCTGTAGACCTAGGACTGAGGCTGTAGACCCAGGACTGAGGCTGTAGACCCAGGACTGAGGCTGTAGATCCAGGACTGAGGCTGTAGACCCAGGACTGAGGCTGTAGATTTGACTTGTGCTAGAACCAAATTGTTTTAGGGCCAGGAACAGTAGGTTTATGTTAAAGTTAAAGTCCGTTGGAAGCCTCTTGGCAGGAGTTTGTGTGCTCCGACCTCAGTCTAATGTCTTCACTGTTTGTGTTTCTGCAGGTTAATCTCAGAGAGGACCTCCTCTGGACTCTCCGGGTCCCATCCGGACCAGGAATCGGACTCAGACCAGGATTCAGACCAGGATTCGGACTCGGACCAGGACTCGGACCAGGACTCTGACCAGGACTCTGACCAGGACTCGGACCAGGACTCGGACCAGGACTCAGACCAGGACTCGGACACCCGGGGGACCAGCGCACCTCCTCGCTCTAGACTCTACAACTGCTACGACCTGGACGAGCTGGACGTGGCCTGGCTCAACCTCGTCAACCAGGAGTTCAAACTCATGGGTGAGTACCAGGAGAGAGACCAGGAGAGAGACCAGGAGAGAGACAAGAGAGGGAGACCAGAGGGAGAGACCAGAGAGAGAGACCAGGAGAGAGACCAGGAGAGAGACCAGGAGAGAGACAAGAGAGGGAGACCAGAGGGAGAGACCAGAGAGAGACCAGGGAGAGAGACCAGAGAGAGAGACCAGAGAGAGAGACCAGAGAGAGAGACCAGGGAGAGAGACCAGAGAGAGAGACCAGAGAGAGAGACCAGAGAGAGAGACCAGGAGAGAGACAAGAGAGGGAGAGACCAGAGGGAGAGACCAGAGAGAGAGACCAGGAGAGAGACAAGAGAGAGAGACCAGGGGGAGAGACCAGAGAGAGAGACCAGGAGAGAGACCAGGAGAGAGACCAGGAGAGAGACAAGAGAGGGAGACCAGAGGGAGAGACCAGAGAGAGAGACCAGAGAGAGAGACCAGGGAGAGAGACCAGGGGGAGAGACCAGAGAGAGAGACCAGGGAGAGAGACCAGAGAGAGAGACCAGGGGGAGAGACCAGGGGAAGAGACCAGGGAGAGAGACCAGAGAGAGAGACCAGGGGGAGAGACCAGGGGAGAGACCAGAGAGAGAGACCAGAGAGAGAGACCAGAGAGAGAGAGACCAGAGAGAGAGACCAGAGAGAGAGACCAGAGAGAGAGACCAGAGAGAGAGACCAGAGAGGAGAGACCAGAGAGAGAGACCAGAGAGGACCAGAGAGAGAGACCAGAGAGAGAGACCAGAGAGAGAGACCAGAGAGAGAGACCAGAGAGAGAGACCAGGAGAGAGACAGAGAGAGGGAGAGACCAGAGGGAGAGAGACCAGGGGGAGAGACCAGAGAGAGAGACCAGAGAGAGAGACCAGAGAGAGAGACCAGGAGAGAGACAAGAGAGGGAGAGACCAGAGAGAGAGACAGAGAGAGAGACCAGAGAGAGAGACCAGAGAGAGAGACCAGGAGAGAGACCAGAGAGAGAGAGAGACCAGAGAGAGAGACCAGAGAGAGAGACCAGAGAGAGAGAGACCAGGAGAGAGACCAGAGAGAGAGACCAGAGAGAGAGACCAGAGAGAGAGACCAGAGAGAGAGACCAGAGAGAGAGACCAGAGAGAGAGACCAGAGAGAGAGACCAGAGAGAGAGACCAGAGAGAGAGAGAGACCAGAGAGAGAGACCAGAGAGAGAGACCAGAGAGAGAGACCAGAGAGAGAGACCAGAGAGAGAGACCAGAGAGGAGAGCCAGAGAGAGAGACCAGAGAGAGAGACCAGAGAGAGAGACCAGAGAGAGACCAGAGAGAGAGACCAGAGAGAGAGACCAGAGAGAGAGAGACCAGAGAGAGAGACCAGGAGAGAGACAGAGAGGGAGAGACCAGAGAGAGAGACCAGAGAGAGAGACCAGAGAGAGAGACAGAGAGAGAGAGACCAGAGAGAGAGACCAGAGAGAAAGACCAGAGAGAGAGACCAGGAGGAGAGACCAGAGAGAGAGACCAGAGAGAGAGACCAGAGAGAGAGAGACCAGAGAGAGAGACCAGAGAGAGAGACCAGAGAGAGAGACCAGGAGAGAGACAAGAGAGGGAGAGACCAGAGGAGAGACCAGAGAGAGAGACCAGAGAGAGAGACCAGGAGAGAGACAAGAGAGGGAGAGACCAGAGAGAGAGACCAGAGAGAGAGACCAGGAGAGAGAGACCAGAGAGAGAGAGACCCAGAGAGAGAGACCAGAGAGAGAGACCAGAGAGAGAGACCAGGAGAGAGACAGAGAGAGACCAGAGAGAGAGACCAGAGAGAGAGACCAGAGAGAGAGACCAGGAGAGAGACCAGAGAGAGAGACCAGAGAGAGAGACCAGGAGAGAGACAAGAGAGGGAGAGACCAGAGGGAGAGACCAGAGAGAGAGACCAGAGAGAGAGACCAGGAGAGAGACAAGAGAGGGAGAGACCAGAGAGAGAGACCAGAGAGAGAGACCAGGAGAGAGACAAGAGAGAGAGAGACCAGAGAGAGAGACCAGGAGAGAGATCAGAGAGAGACCAGAGAGAGAGACCAGAGAGAGAGACCAGGAGAGAGACCAGAGAGAGACCAGAGAGAGAGACCAGAGAGAGAGACCAGGAGAGAGACCAGAGGGAGAGACCAGAAAGAGAGACCAGAGAGCGAGACCAGAGAGAGAGACCAGGAGAGAGACCAGAAAGAGAGACCAGAGAGAGAGACCAGAGAGAGAGACCAGGAGAGAGACCAGAGAGAGAGACCAGAGAGAGACCAGAGAGAGAGACCAGAGAGAGAGACCAGAGAGAGAGACCAGGAGAGAGACCAGGAGAGAGACAAGAGAGGGAGACCAGAGAGAGAGACCAGAGGGAGAGACCAGAGGGAGAGACCAGAGAGAGAGACCAGAGAGAGAGACCAGGGAGAGAGACCAGAGAGAGAGACCAGGAGAGAGACCAGAGAGAGACCAGGAGAGAGACCAGAGAGAGAGACCAGAGAGAGAGAGACCAGAGAGAGAGACCAGGGGGAGAGACCAGAGAGAGAGACCAGAGAGAGAGACCAGAGAGAGAGACCAGAGAGAGAGACCAGAGAGAGAGACCAGAGAGAGAGACCAGAGAGAGAGACCAGAGAGAGAGACCAGAGAGAGAGACCAGAGAGAGAGACCAGAGAGAGAGACCAGAGAGAGACCAGAGAGAGAGACCAGAGAGAGAGACCAGAGAGAGAGACCAGAGGGAGAGACCAGAGAGAGAGACCAGAGAGAGAGACCAGGAGAGAGACCAGGAGAGAGACCAGAGGGAGAGACCAGAGAGAGAGACCAGGAGAGAGAGACCAGGAGAGAGAGACCAGAGAGGGAGAGACCAGGAGAGAGAGAGAGAGACCAGGAGAGAGAGACCAGGAGAGAGAGACCAGAGAGAGAGACCAGAGAGAGAGACCAGGAGAGAGAGAGAGAGAGACCAGGCGAGACCAGGGGAGCTGACCCTGGAGTCTAACCTCTCTCCCTCTCTCCCCCTCTCTCCCCCCCGCCCTCCCCCCCTGGCGGAGCTGACCCTGGAGTCTAACCTCTTCTCCTCTCTCCCTCTCTCTCCCCTCTCCCCCAGCCCTCCCCCCCTGGCGGAGCTGACCCTGGAGTCTAACCTCTCTACCCTCTCTCCCCCAGCCCTCCCCCCCTGGCAGAGCTGACCCTGGAGTCTAACCTCTCTCCCTCTCTCTCCCCTCTCCCCCAGCCCTCCCCCCTGGCGGAGCTGACCCTGGAGTCTAACCTCTCTACCCTCTCTCCCCCCCGCCCTCCCCCCCTGGCAGAGCTGACCCTGGAGTCTAACCTCTCTCCCTCTCTCCTCTCTCCCTCTCTCTCCCCTCTCCCCCAGCCCTCCCCCCCTGGCAGAGCTGACCCTGGAGTCTAACCTCTCTCCCTCTCTCCTCTCTCCCTCTCTCTCCCCTCTCCCCCAGCCCTCCCCCCCTGGCGGAGCTGACCCTGGAGTCTAACCTCTCTCCCTCTCTCTCCCTCTCTCCCCCCTCTCCCCCAGCCCTCCCCCCCCCCTGGCGGAGCTGACGCTGGAGGCCGCCTTGGTGGAGCTGGAGGTGGTGTGTGAGCAGAACATGCAGAGGGCGATCGAGGCGGAGGAAGGACTGGGCATCGAGTACGACGAGGACGTGGTGTGTGACGTGTGCCGCAGCCCGGAGGGCGAGGACGGCAACGAGATGGTGTTCTGCGACAAGTGCAACGTCTGCGTTCACCAGGTACCGCCCGCAAGACGGGATGGGGGGCTCTGTGCGCCAGGTACCGCCCGCAAGACGGGATGGGGGGCTCTGTGCGCCAGGTACCGCCCGCAAGACGGGATGGTGGGCTCTGTGCGCCAGGTACCGCCCGCAAGACGGGATGGGGGGCTCTGTGCGCCAGGTACCGCCCGCAAGACGGGATGGTGGGCTCTGTGCGCCAGGTACCGCCCGCAAGACGGGATGGGGGGCTCTGTGCGCCAGGTACCGCCCGCAAGACGGGATGGTGGGCTCTGTGCACCAGGTACCGCCCGCAAGACGGGATGGTGGGCTCTGTGCACCAGGTACCGCCTGCAAGACGGGATGGTGGGCTCTGTGCACCAGGTACCGCCCGCAAGAGGGGATGGTGGGCCCTGTGCACCAGGTACCGCCCGCAAGAGGGGATGGTGGGCCCTGTGCACCAAGTACCGCCCGCAAGACGGGATGGTGGGCTCTGTGCACCAGGTACCGCCCGCAAGAGGGGATGGTGGGCCCTGTGCACCAAGTACCGCCCGCAAGACGGGATGGTGGGCTCTGTGCACCAGGTACCGCCCGCAAGAGGGGATGGTGGGCTCTGTGCGCCAGGTACCGCCCGCAAGACGGGATGGTGGGCTCTGTGCACCAGGTACCGCCCGCAAGACGGGATGGTGGGCTCTGTGCACCAGGTACCGCCTGCAAGACGGGATGGTGGGCTCTGTGCACCAGGTACCGCCCGCAAGAGGGGATGGTGGGCCCTGTGCACCAGGTACCGCCCGCAAGAGGGGATGGTGGGCCCTGTGCACCAAGTACCGCCCGCAAGACGGGATGGTGGGCTCTGTGCACCAGGTACCGCCCGCAAGAGGGGATGGTGGGCCCTGTGCACCAAGTACCGCCCGCAAGACGGGATGGTGGGCTCTGTGCACCAGGTACCGCCCGCAAAAGGGGATGGTGGGCTCTGTGCACCAGGTACCGCCCGCAAGACGGGATGGGGGGCTCTGTGCGCCAGGTACCGCCCGCAAGACAGGATGGGGGGCTCTGTGCGCCAGGTACCGCCCGCAAGACGGGATGGTGGGCTCTGTGCACCAGGTACCGCCCGCAAGACGGGATGGTGGGCTCTGTGCGCCAGGTACCGCCCGCAAGACGGGATGGTGGGCTCTGTGCACCAGGTACCGCCCGCAAGACGGGATGGTGGGCTCTGTGCGCCAGGTACCGCCCGCAAGAGGGGATGGTGGGCCCTGTGCACCAGGTACCGCCTGCAAGACGGGATGGTGGGCTCTGTGCACCAGGTACCGCCCGCAAGACGGGATGGTGGGCTCTGTGCACCAGGTACCGCCCGCAAGACGGGATGGTGGGCCCTGTGCACCAAGTACCGCCCGCAAGACGGGATGGTGGGCTCTGTGCTCCAGGTACCGCCCGCAAGAGGGGATGGTGGGCCCTGTGCACCAGGTACCGCCTGCAAGACGGGATGGTGGGCTCTGTGCACCAGGTACCGCCCGCAAGAGGGGATGGTGGGCCCTGTGCACCAGGTACCGCCCGCAAGAGGGGATGGTGGGCCCTATGCACCAAGTACCGCCCGCAAGACGGGATGGTGGGCTCTGTGCACCAGGTACCGCCCGCAAGAGGGGATGGTGGGCCCTGTGCACCAAGTACCGCCCGCAAGACGGGATGGTGGGCTCTGTGCACCAGGTACCGCCCGCAAGAGGGGATGGTGGGCCCTGTGCACCAAGTACCGCCCGCAAGACGGGATGGTGGGCTCTGTGCACCAGGTACCGCCCGCAAGACGGGATGGGGGGCTCTGTGCGCCAGGTACCGCCCGCAAGACGGGATGGGGGGCTCTGTGCGCCAGGTACCGCCCGCAAGACGGGATGGTGGGCTCTGTGCACCAGGTACCGCCCGCAAGACGGTATGGTGGGCTCTGTGCGCCAGGTACCGCCCGCAAGACGGGATGGTGGGCTCTGTGCACCAGGTACCGCCCGCAAGACGGGATGGTGGGCTCTGTGCGCCAGGTACCGCCCGCAAGAGGGAATGGTGTGGGCCCTGTGCACCAGGTACCGCCTGCAAGACGGGATGGTGGGCTCTGTGCACCAGGTACCGCCCTCAAGACGGGATGGTGGGCTCTGTGCACCAGGTACCGCCCGCAAGAGGGGATGGTGGGCCCTGTGCACCAAGTACCGCCCGCAAGACGGGATGGTGGGCTCTGTGCACCAGGTACCGCCCGCAAGAGGGGATGGTGGGCTCTGTGCACAGGTACCGCCCGCAAGACGGGATGGTGGGCCCTGTGCGCCAGGTACCGCCCGCAAGACGGGATGGTGGGCCCTGTGCGCCAGGTACCGCCCGCAAGACGGGATGGTGGGCTCTGTGCGCCAGGTACCGCCCGCAAGACGGGATGGTGGGCTCTGTGCACCAGGTACCGCCCGCAAGAGGGGATGGTGGGCCCTGTGCACCAGGTACCGCCCGCAAGACGGGATGGTGGGCTCTGTGCGCCAGGTACCGCCCGCAAGACGGGATGGTGGGCTCTGTGCGCCAGGTACCGCCCGCAAGACGGGATGGTGGGCTCTGTGCACCAGGTACCGCCCGCAAGAGGGGATGGTGGGCCCTGTGCGCCAGGTACCGCCCGCAAGACGGGATGGTGGGCCCTGTGCGCCAGGTACCGCCCGCAAGAGGGGATGGTGGGCCCTGTGCGCCAGGTACCGCCCGCAAGACGGGATGGTGGGCTCTGTGCGCCAGGTACCACCCGCAAGACGGGATGGTGGGCTCTGTGCACCAGGTACCGCCCGCAAGAGGGGATGGTGGGCCCTGTGCACCAGGTACCGCCCGCAAGACGGGATGGTGGGCTCTGTGCGCCAGGTACCGCCCGCAAGACGGGATGGTGGGCTCTGTGCGCCAGGTACCGCCCGCAAGACGGGATGGTGGGCTCTGTGCGCCAGGTACCTCCCGCAAGAAGGGATGTGGGGCATCTAATGTATTTCCCCCTGTCAGAATGATGTGTGTCAGCCTGTGGTCAGTGTTACTCCTGTATCTCCTGGTCCTCTCTCAGACCTGTCTCCTCCTCAGACCTCCTCTGTCTCCTCCTCACACCTCCTCTGTCTCCTCCTTGGTCTCCTCACACCTCCTCTGTCTCCTCCTCAGGCGTGTTATGGTATCCTGAAGGTACCGCAGGGTAACTGGCTGTGTCGTACCTGTGCTCTGGGAGTTCAGCCCAAGTGTCTGCTGTGTCCCAAACGAGGAGGAGCCCTGAAGCCCACACGCAGCGGCACCAAGTGGGTCCACGTCAGCTGTGCCCTGTGGGTCCCAGAGGTCAGAGGTCACACACACACACATACACACACACACACAGAGGTCAGAGGTCACACACACACACAGAGGGACCGAGTGGGTCCACGTCAGCTGTGGGTCCCAGAGGTCACACACACTAACACACTAATACACACACACACACAGGGTCAGAGGTCACTTACACACACACACACACACACACACCAAGTTGGTCCACGTCAACTTGGTGTGTCCTTACCCTGAGCACAGACACATGTTCCACAGTCTGCTCTTGGTTTTCACCAAAGACCATAAAGCATCAGTGGGGTCTGTTCAAAGACCATAAAGCATCAGTGGGGTCTGTTCAAAGACCATAAAGCATCAGTGGGGTCTGTTCAAAGACCATAAAGCATCAGTGGGCTCTGTTCAAAGACCATAAAGCATCAGTGGGCTCTGTTCAAAGACCATAAAGCATCAGTGGGTCTGTTCAAAGACCATAAAGCATCAGTGGGGTCTGTTCAAAGACCATAAAGCATCAGTGGGGTCTGTTCAAAGACCATAAAGCATCAGTGGGGTCTGTTCAAAGACCATAAAGCATCAGTGGGCTCTGTTCAAAGACCATAAAGCATCAGTGGGGTCTGTTCAAAGACCATAAAGCATCAGTGGGGTCTGTTCAAAGACCATAAAGCATCAGTGGGGTCTGTTCAAAGACCATAAAGCATCAGTGGGCTCTGTTCAAAGACCATAAAGCATCAGTGGGGTCTGTACAATCAGGAAGTAATGTCGTCCAGATGTGAGGCCAGAGAGACAGACTCCTCTGGCCCCTCAAAGCCATGTTCCAGCTTCTTTCCTCTGACAGAAGATATGGTTGGCTGCAGGACATGCTAACATGCTATCATGCTAACATGCTAACATACTAACATGCTTACATACTAACATGCTATCATGCTTACATACTAACATGCTATCATGCTAACATGCTATCATGCTAACATGCTAACATACTAACATGCT